ATCTAAGAGAGTGATTTTGAGATCCCCAAGTCACACATTGACCCATTGGGTAAATCATTATTGTCAGGGAAGTAGGTTACTCTGCATAATCAGGTCCAGAGTGACCTTGTCATATGTTGATGCTTTCTAAGATGTTGTATGTCCAACAAGAAAGCAACATGACTTATTGTATGAGACCGGCTTCTATGACACAGCTGTATCAGAACAGCTTGTAATGAGTGAACATCAAAGAAGTTTTTGGATGTTAAGGGCAATATTTTCTTTTTTCTTTCCCAAAGCTTTGATAACCAGGCAATCTGTAGAGATTTGTAGCACTTAATAGTAAGCAAATAGCCACAGTTTTGAGGAACTAGTAAGCAACTGGGTATATATAGTTAAAAAAAAATTTTTTTTTGCCCTGATTAAAAAAAAAAATTGACCTTTAAGGAAAGGATGAGAAAACTAAAAGCTTAAAAATATCCATTGGTAGAAAGCTAGAGGGATGAGATGAATAAATGCCCAAATTGCCTGAGAAAGTAGGAGAGAATGAAATAAAGAACTTGTATACTTATCTCCAAACTCAAGATGTATACACCAAGTATGAACCTTTTTTTTCTGTGTTAGTCATATCTCAATGCAATATATGTGCTTTTTAAGAAAGTATACTTCTTATTCTGAGGTAAAAATAAAATATATCATAAATAAAATCAGAAAATTTAAGATAGAAAGGAGAATGTTTCAAAATAATTTTTGACTAGAACTCAATTTCAACATGCAGTCATTGTCCAGGAATAAAGGAGATAAGAATGGGATTGAATTTGGAGAAGGACAGAAAGGTATTAGGACAACTCAAAGGATGTGTTCATGGTCATTTAAAGGTTAAGAAGAAAGGCTGGCTGAATGTGGCTAAGATCAGTTCCCATGAATTGGTGATGAACAAGCAGTATCCTAAATATAAGGGTTAATGATGTAGATGTTATGATGCCATGATGGATGCTGGTAGCTTGTCCATAGGCTTAAGACTAAAGATAATATTGATTTTAAAATTCTAATTGAAATATGTAGACTGGGTTGATTCCTTTCACTGCTTCTTATGAAATATACTGCTTCTTATAAAATTTTAGGAACAAATTCTGGTCTTCCTTTCTCATCCTAGGGTGTCAAAAAAAAAAAAAGCTACTATGCTACTATTTAGATTTTTTTAATCCTCAAGATTCTCACCTGGGGCCTGGGGATGTGGCTCAAGCGGTAGCGTGCTTGCCTGGC